AGCTGCAGGAATTCATATAAAAAATAATGGTGGCTGGACCAAAACATCATGGTAAAGTGGTGAGAAGGGTCAGATGCTGGATATACACTGAGGGCTGAACTAGCCAATGTGTTTTTCTGATGGACTGGTTATGCGATATGACAAAGAGGCAAAGGAACTGGAGAGTAAGTTGCCACCTGCTGAGATGGGGCCGCTCTAGACTGAATAGTTGGGGGCAGTGGGGAGGAGAGATCAGGAGCTCAGTTTTGGATGTTATACTGATGATGCCTTTTGGATGGTGAATGGATAAATCAAGTAGGTAACTGGATAGGTCTGAATTAGAGATATATTTGGGAGTTGTCAATATATAGACAGCATTTAAAACCATGGAAGCACATGAAACCACCAAGGGAATGACTAGACAGAAAAGAGGTCCAAGTACAAGACTCTAGGACACTCTACTAATAAAGCAGGGAAGGGAGCAGAGGAGATGGCAAAGGAGACTACGGAGTAACTGTTACTTCTTTTTTTCTCCCTTCCCATACTTAAATGCAAAATTGGTGTAGTATTTGTGGGGATCCTCTGCAAAGAAATCTCATGCCTGTTAATCTAGAATCTGAAGGAATTCTATACATTCTGAAGACAACACTATCATATGTGAAGACATTAAACAGTAAAATCAATTCAATATCCATTTTAACAATCTTAATTACATTCTCTCTTTTTTTTATTAGTTGGAGGCTAATTACTTTACAGTATTGTAGTGGGTTTTGTCATATATTGAAATGAATCAGCCATGGAGTTACATGTATTCCCCATTTCGATCCCCCCTCCCTAAATGCCTGAAGCTTGCAACACTGTAATTTTTTAAGTTTAACTCTTCCTGATTCTAAGAAAACTGTTTTGAATGTTATTATTTCCCCTTTGAAAAAAATTTTAAGAGGAACAAGTTCTTTAAGAATAACTCCTATAAAATTCCTTGCAACAAGGATTTTTCCTTTTGCTTCTCTAAGAATCTAAACCATTTGTGTTTCAATTCACTCATGAAATAAACATGGAAATATGCTATGGTATTCACAAGGTAACATGGAGCTGTAGAGCCATCTAGCTGAGAACCAACAATAAATTGCCAGTAAAAGTGCCAAATTTCCAACTTTGGGTTATGGGATATATGGGGAAGATACAAGCTGCAGATACAATGCAGCAGTAGGCCAAGTCCTTGGTTTTCCCTGATGCCTTCAAACACGAAAACAAATGGACAAAACAGTTCTTTCAGCCCACAGGATAGGCCCTGTATGAAAATACCTCGCATTTCTGCAGCCATCTCCAAAGTCTGAAATTTTTGTTGGCTCGAGTTTTGGCCTCCGTTTTTAGCATGTGAATAATGAGCCGATTTTTGCTTTGCAGGGCCATGTCAAGAGGGGTTTCTCCCTAAAAAAGAAAGAAAAAGTTCAATTTTATTTTTGATACAGCATAACTGCTAAACTTTTTTTAATATTTATTTATTTGGCTGAGCCACATCTTGGTTGTGGCACATGCGATCTTTAGTTGCACAGGCAGGATCTTTTATAGCTGTGGTATGCGAACACTTAGTTGGGGTATGTGGGGCCTAGTTCCCTGACCAGGGGTTGAACCCAGGTTCCCTGCATTAGGAGCGTGGAATCTTAGCCACTGAGCCACCAGGGAAGTCCCAATGCTAAACAAGTTTTACAAACTCATGAGAATCATAGATTCAATGTATTTATTCCAAGGGTAGCCAACTATTATTGTTTATATGTATCGTGTGGTAACTGAAGACGTAATAAGCTAAGAGAGATAAACACCTGGCCATACCTTAACATTTCGGACATCCAGGCTAGAACCAGCCTCCAAGAGCTTATCAACAGCATTAACATTTCCTGCTGCAACCGCCCAGTGAAGTGGAGTGTTTTGATGTATCTTATCAACTATATTGAGAGAAGGATTAAACTTTAAAAGAAATCCAGTTGGTTCTGGCCTGTCTCAAAACAATAAAACACCAAGGACCACTTATTAGAATGAGTTGAAGGGTAAATGTAAATAATGAACCTGTTTGATAATATATCAATGAACCAATCAGTAAGTATTCTGAAAACTGCAGAACTTCTCTGTGCAGAATTCTACTCTAGGTGCTAATACTGGTGAGGCCCAAGTTGCTGCCCCAAGAGAAATCTATTAATTGTCTGCTATATAATGTAATTTTAACAACAATACAATGGAATAATTGCTCTTGTTTTTCAAATTTTTATTTTCATGGTGCTGTTCTAATGATTAACTTTTTTTTTTTTTTTTACTTCGGCCAACATTAAATGCTATGTTATTTATCCACTTAAAAAATTAAACATACAACATCATATTTGAGGAGACAAACCAAAAGCTAACTTCACATTCTCCCTCCAACCACTTATTACATAAAGTGGTATAAAAAATGCCCTAAATCATTTATCAAAGAAAGTTATGGACTTGAAAGCATAATTCAATTATTTTTTTACTTCATCTTCAATACTTTTACTTCCTTCATGACTACTCAAGAGATTCCCTTAATAAAACAATAATCTATTTTACTCATTCTATTCAAGATTTTAAAACATTATACATGACCTCAGAGTTACTAGCAAAGATGACACAATGCTTTTTGACAAAATTCTACCCCAAATTCGAGCCCTACCAGTCTATGAACTAAAAGGAAATAGCACCAGAACTAACTCAGTTCCTAGGAGTGACATCCTAAGTAAAAGCAGACTCAGAAACTAAGTACAACACTGGAAACAAAACTGATAAAGGACAAAGTGTAGCTTGTATTTGAACAGAAGGATAACAGAAGTTGGACAATATGGTGACCAGTAATCACAAGTAGTAATGACAAAACACACAAAAACTTAAATATCTAAGTAACTGATATGAACATATAAACATGCTATTTTCATAATTGCAATTTTCAATTACAATTAATATTTTCAGAGTAGTCAACAATGTTAGAGAACCCTCAAATTTATTGTATTTATTTGTATTATTTGAAATGCATATTTATCATCTAGATTTCAAATTATGGGAGCATTTAAACCTGTAGCCATTCTTGAGAAACATGAACTAAGAAATGCAAATTCTGTTAATTAAGTATACACTGTGGAATCTCCAGGTGTTCTGTAAGGAAATTTTTTTCTATTGGTAGCTTTCAAACTTTTCCCCAAAGCTATCAGAAAAGAGAAAATTTATTTCAAAGCTGCTTTTCTAACTACAACTACATTAAAAGTGCATGTCACAGACACAAGATGGAAAATCTTACTTTCTTCAGAATGCTGTGTCACCTCACATAGAATAAGATACTTAAATTGATGGAATCAAGAGTCAGAATAAGGCAATTCAATTAAACTTACTTACCCAAGTACTTTGTTAGCTGATAACATGAGAGGTGTCTGCCCGTTTACATCTATTGTATTCACACTCTGTTAAAAAAGAAGAGTTGATCAGCCTAACTGTAAACACAGTCAATTTTCTGTTTCCTCTCTTAGTAGAAGTATCTCTTTAATACATTCAACACCACCAGTGTGTCTACAAGGGTTCAGATATTATTTGAATAAAATAATGTTCTGTTTCACATCCATAGGGTAAAAATCCACTGATTCCTGCAAAATATTTTTTAAAGGGAAAAATCTGAATATATGATTTTAAATGTTGTATGTTGTGAGTGGAAGATGACAAAGGGACAGAAAAATGTTGATAATCACCATCAAATATGAGACAGTAGAGACCTTAGAAGTTATCTGGTTTAGACTTTAACTGACACATTAATTCAAACTATCACCTCTTGGACAAAGTCATCCAGTCTCTACTTAAACACTTTCAGTAAGAGTGAACTCTACCTTCTGAGGCAAGAATACAAAATAAATTGTATTTTTGAATTTACTATGTTTCAAAGAGTAAAACATGAAAAATTCTATTTTTGAGAATACAGGAAATAAAAGGGAAATCATAGCTCCAAGAAGATACGGTCCACTTAAAAAAATGGGTCCAGAGTTGAGGTATACACCCCAACCCCCCAAAACAGTCAGTGACTGAATATTCTTACAGGCCTTGGAGGAAGAAGTCCAAAGTGAAGTAGAAAAGATGATTCTTCATACAGCTTTCCAAAATAAGAGCCAAGAGGTTATAATTATTCTACTTGAATTGCTAAGTCTAACAGAAAGTGCTTATTTAAAGAGAATACAGTCATTCCAACAGCATTTGTGCAAACATGTTTCCATGCCTGCTACAGACGAAACTACTCATATATAAACTAGTTGTTACCAGAAAGCATATCCCAGGAAAGCAGAACTGACAGTGAAACTCCCACTGCCAACAACCCATAATTTAACCAGTGCCATAAATGAATGTCTCTTAAGGCAAGTCATTTTTCATGGGATTACTTCAGGGAACAATAAGAAACATACATTCAAACTGGTCTCCATTTGGACTCAAATAATGAAAGCAAATGATGGGTTAATTTAGTGATTTGACTACCATTTCCACATTCAACCAAAAGAAAAATACAGGCTTTAAAGTCATGTTTTTTAAAAACTCTGCAAATTACCGGGATCACAAGAAAAACTATTATAAGCTGACAAGTTTCAGAAACAACTATTATATGTTACTGAGCTAAATGACCTATCCTTTTTGCTCCAGTGAAGCTGGAAAAGCAGTATTCAACAGCTAGACTTACTGAGGCTAGTATTTGAACATTCAGGTATCTGTAAAAATGATTTTTATACCTTAAAAATGAGGACTATTACTAATAATCCTCTCTGAGTCCTTTCAGATTTACAACAGCTAGAATACAAAATATGTCTCAAAACATACCTGTCCTTTAGAGATGAGATATGCTATAATGGGCATGTGCTGAAATAACACAGCCAGGTGGATGCCACAGAATCCCTCTCCATCAATGAGAGCGGGGTCTGCACCATACTGCAGTAATAATATGACCATAGGCAAATGCCCTTGTCTGGAAAAAGAGAGAACACAAATTATACNAATAACACAGCCAGGTGGATGCCACAGAATCCCTCTCCATCAATGAGAGCGGGGTCTGCACCATACTGCAGTAATAATATGACCATAGGCAAATGCCCTTGTCTGGAAAAAGAGAGAACAAAAATTATACTGTACTCTATAGTGCAAAAGAGAAAAATTCAGGGAGAAACTAATATTTCTAAGACATGAGGGACTGTGGTTATATATAGAGAGTATTTCTTAACAGTGTACAGATTTTTAAAACACTGGAGCTTCTCCAAATATTTTTTACGTAGACATTCCAAACTTAGAACTATCTGGACAGTCCTTGAGTGCAGGTAATAAGCTTATTAATACTAACCTCCCAATCTACCTTAAATCTTATGTGTAAGACTACTACCATGTATAAATAATTTTACATAACTAACAATAAAAATGGAAATTAAAAATCACTTGGACTTTGCCATTGTTATTTTAAAAACAAAAATAATCATGAAACAAGGTTATGTTGAATGTAGGGTAACAATTCCCAGACCACAGGTGATAATACTGTTCTTAGGAACTACATATTTCTCTTTGAATACAGCTCATTTCTATGTAAAGCACTGCAGCTTACGGGGATGAGCTAACCCCAGATTCTTCAAAATTCTTGACTCCAGAGAAAAGACTGAACTCCTTGCCTTAAATGAACAATTATCCACTTCACTTTCAGGTTCGTTTCAGTTCCACCCATCAGAGAGAATGGAGTTAAATTGAAAGATGAAGAAGTTGCTATGTATCCAAATAGACACTTAACTAACTCCAGCTTCAGATGCCAGCACATACCAGGGAAAAGAATTGATGGAGTTTACACTCACTAAACTACCACATTTGTCCGTGTGATCAAATATTAAAAATATTTACTTTAATTATAAAATATAATACATACAATTTAGTTTGGGCCCTCAATTAAACACAAAAACATCATCTACACAAACTCTTTAAAATGGTTTTTTTTTTAATGAAGCGGTAAAAACAAGAGAGTCTTTCAAGTGGTCTGTAACTGCAATTCTAGTATGAACTACTAGCCATATATAGTTATTTAAATGCAAATTAGCTAAAATTAACTAAAATTAAAAACTCAATTCCTTAGTGGCATTATCCACACTTTACATTTCACATGTGGCTAGTGGCGCTACCTTACAGGACAGCACAAACATTTCCATCTTCACAGAAAATTCTGTGGCAAAGTGCTGGTCTATAACGTTCAGAACATACATAAATCAGTTTTGATTCTGAATAGCAATTTCAGTATTTAAAGAAACCTTTACCTGATGGCCCAATGAAGAGGAGTTGAATTTAAATCTCCACCCAACTGATCTACCACAGCGCCTTTTGAAATATAAAACCTGTTAAGAACAGACATAAATGAAAATAAGATTTAAAACTTAAAATTCATACTAAGAAATAAAACATCCATTTTTCTTAGTAATAAATGTATTTGAAAACAGAAATTATAATAATGCCCCTCTCTAAAACACTCAGATCTGCAGAAGTCTGAAAGACTCACATAACAGCATCAAACAGATCCCTGGTGAAATATTCTCATCATGTAAGTAATTACTCCTGCTGTCATGAGTATCCCTTTACAACTATACACTAAACACATAATAACTACTCTCTGCTGATTCTAACCACAAAACTCCTGAAATGGTTTATATTTCAGTTCAGTTCAGTTGCTCAGTCGTGTCCGACTCTTCGCAACCCCATGAATCGCAGCATGCCAGGCCTCCCTGTCCATCACCAACTCCCGGAGTTTACTCAAACTCATGTCCATCGAGTCGGTGATGCCATCCAGCCATCTCATCCTCTGTCATCCCCTTCTCCTCCTGCCCCCAATCCCTCCCAGAATCAGGGTCTTTTCCAATGAGTCAACTCTTCGCATGAGGTGGCCAAAGTACTGGAGTTTCAGCTTCAGTATCAGTCCTTCCAGTGAACACCCAGGACTGATCTCCTTTAGGATGGACTGGTTGGAAGGTTTCTATTACAGATGATCTATTTAACTTGCAAGAAGAAAGGTTTAACTATGTCACAACTAACAGCTTAAAGTTAGAATTACTATGTGGAGATAATGATGCTAAAAGCAGCTAGCAAAAAAATAATTCAAAATTTTTCCAGAAAAGTTAAGACATTTTGAGTATTTCACTCTATTTTGGAGGAATAGATGGGATACATTGTATAAAGTTAAACTATAAGGTAAAGAGACTTATTTTCTTCTGTGGCTTACAGGAATTAGTCTCATTATTTCAAAGTTGTGCTTCACATATATTATGTAAAGGCTGTGAGTATATCTCGTTATTCTAACCTTCAGTATATTTTTACTTTCTTAAACCACAGGATTTTAAATGTGTATAATACAAAACATATACACATTCATGTACACATATACATTTTACATGCTAAAGATATAAAAACAAACAAAACACAGTAGTGCTTTATGTACGGAAATAATTTTAAACAATCCAATACATGCCTAATCTAAAATGCATTCCATATTTAATTTTGCTATTAACTTAAATTATTCCCCTACCCATCCATTCCTCCTGGCATTATTACAATATAACAATTTCAGTGATTCTTTTAAACTTGGTGAAACTATCTGTTCTATTGTGAAAAATGTGTTGTTATTGTTCAGTCACTCAATCATGTCCTACTCTGTGTGACCCCATGGACTGCAGCACGCCAGGCTTCCTTGTCCTTCATCATCTCCTGGAACTTGCTCAAACTCATGTTCACTGAATCGGTGATACCATCCAACCATCTCGTCCTCTGTCATCCCCTTCTCCTGCTTTCAATCTTTCCCAGCATCAGGGTCTTTTCCACTGAGACAGTTCTTCACATCAGGTGGCCAAAGTACTGGGTTTCAGCTTCAGCACCAGTCCTTCCAATGAATATTCAGGGTTGATTTCCTTAAGAATTGACTGCTTTGATCTCCTTGCCATCCAAGGGACTCTCCGAGTCTTCTCCAGCACCACAGTTCAAAAGCATCAGTTGTTTGGTGCTCGGCCTTCTTTATGATCCAACTCTCACATCCATACATGACTACCGCAAAAAACATAGCTTGGACTATACGGACCTTTGTCGGCAAAGTAATGTCTCTACTTTTTAATACACTGTCTAGGTTTGTCATAGCTTTTTTTCCAAGGAGCAAGTGTCTTTTAAAACTTTCAAGGTTGCAGTCACCATCCGCAGTGATTCTGGAGTCCAAGAAAATAAAGTCTGTCACTGTTTCCATTGTTTCCCCATCTATTTGCCATGAAGTGATGGGAACAGATGCTACGATCTTAATTTTTTGAATGTTAAGTTTTAAGTCAGCTTTTTCACTCTCCTCTTTCACCTTCATCAAGAGACTCTTTAGTTCCTCTTTGCTTTCTGCCGTAAGGGTGGTATCATCTGCATATCTGAGGTTATTGATATTTCTATCAGCAATGTTGACTCCAGCTTGTGCTTCATCCAGCCCAGCATTTTGCATGATGTACCCTGCATATAAGTTAAATAAGCAGAATGACAATATACAGCTTTGATGTACTCCTTTCCCAGTTTTGAATCAGCCCGTTGTTCCATGTCCAAAAATGTTCAAATTCATTGCCTGAACTGTGGCTTCATTTTTAATATTTATTTCTGGGCCAACGAGAGTCCTGGTCCAGATGATCTCTGAGGTCCTTTTCAATACTATGATAACCACTGTGCATGACACAAAGTTCAAGCATTCATTTATAATAAAGGATTAGAGGTGGCTCAACATACGTACTTGCACTTGAAAAGAGAAAAGACAAATGAAGGAAAGGTTTAGAATTATAAAACACACATTTAATTAACACACACATATCCCATCTTACTTTACAAGATCCAGCCTGTTATTAATGGCAGCCCAGTGAAGAAGAGACACATTTTCTTTGTCTGGTTGCCTGACATCATATCCTGCTTCTACCAACTCTTTACATCGCTCAAAAATGCCGTATCTGCAACAAGATGGAAAATAAAAAGCGTAACTGATACCATTAACATAATTTCAGCTATCAAAATGTCTTTTTCTTTTACCATCTTATCTGGTGTGTCTTTCAGGCAACACAGAAATATAACAATTAGCAAAGATATTCATAAAGTGGATGGGATGTAAACCCAAACAACAGAAGTAAACCTGGCTAGTAGCTGATCAGATAGATGAATCTATTTGGACTTGAACCTGATTTTCTGAAATAAACTTTCAACATTCACAGTTTTCCTCTTTCAATAAGTTTCACTGGATCTTCCACTAGGTACCAGGAATGCACGGTGCTGATTCTGGACAATAATCTTATCCCCAAATCAAACAAACCCAAGCAATGATCTCACAATAAGGGAGCGAGACTAAAAGCAAACTGGAACAGGATAAATTCAACAAGAAAACATGGACATGGTGTAGGTACAGAAAAGGAAGGAATGATTAGCTCTTCCTGAAGTAGATGGAACATGATGTACAAGCTATAAAGGGAAGACATTTCAGGCAGAGGTAACAGCATGTACGAAAACCAGAGATACGAAACTACACAGATGTTTGGAGAAATAATAAGCAATTTAGCACTGCAGAAGCATAAAGCATAAGAAAGGCAATGGCAGGAGATGAGGCTAGGAGAGGCAGGCAAAGCCTGCATGATCTTTCTCTGCCATGCTGTGAAATTTAGTCTTTACGGCTTAAGGGGAAGCCAACGCAGGTTTTAAAGAAGAAAGCACTCAGGCTTTGGGCTGTAAGAAAGATCACATTAGTACAATATGGAAGCTAACCTGAGGTGAAGACTGAGAGACCAGTTTAGAGGCTCTTGTATTAGAGACAGGTGATCAGCAAAGGGAGCCTCGGGGAAAAGAATGGAACAATTGAAGGGATACTTGAGAGAGCTATTTAACTATCAGAATGAAAAGGAGGAGAGAAATATCTCTTTTTAATGCTAAAATAATTTTCAAAATCATTCATTAGCTCAATTTCTTTTCAACAGAAACTATTAAGTCCTACTAGACCATTTAGTTTCTTTGAAACTTACTTTTATTTAGAGGGACCTAAATGTTTTACTGTGCCTTCAAGGGTCAAAATCAAAACAAATGGCAGAATGTCTGTTTTCCATACTATTAAATTAAATAACTTCCACCTCATCAAAATGTGTACATGCCTGTCTTTATGGCATTTTTTAAAAGATAGCTACCCATCTGACAATGCGAAGTGAAGATATTAGAGAAAATGAGTTGTTGATAATTATACATATATATATTTACATTCCATCTTTTAAATATCAACTTTAACATTTTATTGGAAAAGAAATACACCCCTGTGATGACCTAGAGGGGTGGGATGGGAAGAGGAAGGAGGTTCAGGACAGAAGGGATATATATATATATATATATGTAAAATTATGACTGATTCATGTTGCTGTATAGCAGAAGCCAACACAAAATTGTAAACCAATTTTCCACCAATTAAAAAAAATTTAATTAATAAAAAATAATTGGGAATCAAAAAAAGAGAGATACTCCCTTTACATGAGAAACATAAAGAGTACAAACTATTTAAGGGTATGATTTAGAAAATACAAAAATACCTATCCTAACTAGTTCTTTTTCACTCTTCTCAAACACTACCTAAATATCTTCTCACAACCACTTAAGAAAGTCCAAGACCTGAAGAAAATTTTAGGAAAGATATATGAGTTTTTATTGAGATTCCCTATGATATAGCCTAATTTTTCACACTTATTGTAACAGAGCTTTACTGAAAGCAGTGAAACATTTAAATGTTTCCATTTTAATTAAAGCAAATATCTATTTACCTTAAGAACACTGTCATCTTCATATAAATATAACAATACAAACATTCTCAAATAATATTCAACTAAAGTAGTGGTTCCCAGGGTCTCCAGAATTCATGTAAATTAGTAATTAGAATATTCAAATAATTGTTGATTACTTTTTAACAAACATAAGCAATATATCAGTCTGTATTAAAGCCAAACAGGTTAACTAATCACCAAACATCTTCACTTTTGACAGAAACTATATCAAGTTTGTGAAGTAACATTGGTTTCTTTAATGCAGATTAGAAGCTCTGACAGGCAGGCCTATATTTGATTACTAATAAAGTGACCTACTAATTAACATAATCTGACAGGCAAAATATTTCAAAACATATTCAATGGCAAGAGATGTGGTAGATGTTAACAATCAGTGAGATCCATGAGGGTGAAAATGTTGGAAATGATTTAAGGCAAATACTCACAGGTGGAAATCTTTAGGAGAAACTTGAAACATTATTTCATTTTCAGTGAAAGCAAAACAACCAACTATGTTTCAAGTGGTCAGAAACTATAGTTTCAAGTGGTCAGAAAACCTGTTTCTATTTTACTGACTTTCTTCTAGTGCACCCAACAAAATAGCTACATAGAAAGTAATCAATAAATGTTTAAAATACCCATAAATGTATTCATCTCATCTTCATATTTAGGTTGTAGTATATTTTAAAAGCCTAAGATGTGTATTTCAAACTCTGAGTCTAGCATGAGTGTCATTTAAAACCATCTGCTCACTCGATGAACATTTATTGAGCACCTAATAGAAGACAGAAACTGTGCAAAAGCGCTGGGGTTACAAAGATGGAAAAGACATGCTTTTGCTCAGAAGTTCACAATCTAATGGAAGAGACCATTAATAAAAAACTAAGGGGCACTGTATCAAATGCTCTGATGCTGGTATGACAAACACACTATCACTGGAGTATGAAGGGAGGGAGGTGTACACGGGAGTGCCATGAACTGCACATAGGAACTGAGGATAAAGCAAAGCATTAGGCAGACTTACTGAGTAGCTTTTACAATGTCACAGTTACTAGAATCCTCTATAAGAGGAAGAGCTTCTCTCGCCTTGGCAAGTTCTTTGTTTTCATGCGCACAGACTCCATGTCGACCAAATCCTGGAGGGTAGGGGCCATGGCTGTGATTCCTGCACTGAAGAGTAAGAGTAATTTGACAAGGCACAGAAAAGAATCACTGTCACATTCAACTACATCATAAAGCATTTGGTACTATCGACAGTATCTATCAGTTAAATGATTTGTTTTTCATTCTTAGAGGTATAGCCTACAGAAGATTTTCCTTTTAATTCTAATACACTAGGATTAGATGCTTCATATTAGAAAATTCCAAATTAGGTATTAGGTTGGTGCAAAAGTAATTGTGGTTTTGCACTGTTGAACTCTGCCTTTCAACACTGGAATACATTCTCAAATAAATGTGGTTATGTTATACATCACTTTAATGCATACTTCTCACTTGGTTTTGTTGTTAATGACTTATTACCTGATGTTTATATTTATCTTAGACTATGAAATGATATTAGACAAAAAGTAAATTCCAGTTATTTTTTAATTCAAGTTCAAAATGGATCATACAGCAGCAGAGACAACTCGCAACATCAACAGCACACTTGGCTCAGAAACTGCTAACAAACAGTACGTGCAGTGGTGCTTCAGGAAGCTTTGCAAAGGAGATGAGAGCCTTGAAGATGAAGAGTGCAGTGGACAGCTGTTGAAAGTTGACAACGACCAACGGAGAGCCATCATCAAGCTACTCCTCTTACAACTACAGAAGGTGCTGAAGAACTCAACATCGACCAGTCTATGGTCATTCAGCATTTGAAGCAAACTGGAAAGCTGAAAAAGCTCAATAAGTGGGTGTTTCATGAGCTGACTGCAAATCAAAAAAATCATTTCGAAGTGTCATCTTCTCTTATTCTACACAACAACAACAAACCATTTTTGATTGTGATTGTGATATGAGACAAAAAGCGGATTCCATACAACCCCGGGTGACAATCAGCTCAGTGGCTGGACTGAGAAAAAGCTCCAAAGCACTTCCCAAAGCCAAATGTGCATCAAAATAAAAGGTCATGGTCAGTCTGGTGGTCTGCTGCCAGTCTGATCCACTACAGCATTCTGAACCCCTGTGAAACCATTACATCGGAGAAGTACGCTCAGCAAATTGATGAGATGAGCAGGAAACTGCAACCCCTGCATCTGGCATTGGTCAACACGAAGGGCCCAATTCTTCTCCATGACAATGCCCGACCACACGTTGCACAAGCAACACTTCAAAAGTTGAACAAAGTGGGCTACAAAGTTTTGCCTCATCCACCATATTCACCTGAAGTGAAAGTGTTAGTTGCTCAGTTGTGTCTGACTCTGCAACTCCACAGACTCTAGCCCACCAGCCTCCTCTGTCCATGGAATTCTCCAGGCAAGAATACTGGAGTGCGTAGCTAGTCTCTTCTCCAGGGGATCTTCCCAACCCAGGGATTGAACCTGGGTCTCCTGCATCGCAGGCGGATTCTTTACCATCTGAGCCACCAGGGAAGCCCTCATAGTCACCTGACCTTTCACCAAATGACTATCACTTCTTCAAGCATCTTGACAACTTTTTGCAGGGAAAACCCTTCCAAAACCAGCAGGATACAGAAAATGTTTTTCAAGAGTTTGTTGAAATGCAAAGCACAGGTTTTTACACTACAGGAATAAACAAACTTATTCTTGTTGGCAAAAACATGCTGACTATAATGGTTCATATTTTGATTAATAAAGATGTGCTTGAACCTAGTTATAATGATATAACAACATTCATGGTCTGAAACTGCAATAACATTTGCATCAACCAAATATTTCTGTCATAAAACAAAGGCCATCTGCAAAAGACACCAAAGTATTCTGTTACTTGTAATAGGTGGAGGGTCATGGTTCTTGACAGCAGGAAGGTCACCAGGCGTCTGCTTCAGGAAGTCAAGGTGAATACACCCTAAGGCTACATCCCAATGTATAAATGAAATCCCAGAAGAGGAAGAGGAAATACTTTTAAATATTTGACTAAACAGCCAAAAATCTTCCAAATTTGGTGAAAATTATAAACCCATGACTCCTACAAGCTCAACAAACCAAAGCAGCACCAAGCTCATAATATTACACCAAGGCATATAATAATCAAACCACTCAAAATCAATGATAAAGATAGCAGTCCAAGGAAAAAGACACATCATGTTCAAAAAAAACAAAGGTAAGAATGAACTCAGACGTCTTATCAGTAAGTACTAGCCAGAAGACAAAAGCAAGACAGTTTTAAAAATCTAAAGGAAAAAACAACCTGCAAACACTAACAAAAATATTCTTGAAAAATAGGAATGAAAGAAACACTTTTTTCAAACAAATCAAAGCTAAGAAAACTGCCAACAGACACTATCTTACAAGAAATAAAAAAGGATGTTCTTTAGGCTAAAGGAAAATAATACCAGACAGAAATCTGAATCAACACAAAGAAATAAAGAGTGACAGAACTACATGGGTAAATACGTATAATTACGTGGGTCAACATAACAGACTTTTCACATTTTTAAATTTCTTGATGATAATAAACAGAAGTATACTGTTACAGGAGATTCTTAAAATAGTATTTGCAGATAAACAGTGGTAAGTAAACCCAAGAGCAACTTCTAAATAAATAAAGTCATACAATAAGCCAATAGCAGAAATAAAATAAAATACTTAAAACATACTCAGTATCTTTCAAACTGCAGGAAAAGTAGAGGGAAAATGAACAAAGAACAGAGAAGGAATAAAACATATAAGGTAATACATTTATACTAAACTATGTTTATAATCACATTAAATACTCATGATCTAAAGAAAACCAAATGAAAGACAGTTTGTTAGACTGGATTTTTAAAAAAGCAAACACCAAGAAAACTACATGTCCTCTACATGAAACTCACATTAAATACAAAAACATACATAGTTGTTAAAAATGAAGGATAGAAAGAGATATGCCATGCAAAAACAAAATAAGCATAAGGAATTCAATGGTTCTATTAATATAAGACAAAGTAGACATCAGCACAAGAAATATTACCAGAGATAAAGAGGAACATTTCAAAATATTAAAATATTAAAAAGTAAATATTAAATATTAAAAAAATAAAAAATAATAAATTAAAATTAAAAATAATTTTAAAAAATCAAGAAGATATAACCATCTTAAACACATGTGCACCCAAAAGGAACTTCAAAATTCATGAGGCAAAAAAGAAAAACAGGAAAATTCATTATTAGAGTTGAGTATTTTAGTACTTCTTTCAGCTACTAGAAAAGGAGAGAAATCAGAAACAGATGCATGTGTTTGTGCTCAGTCGCTCAGTTGTGTCCAACTCTTTGGGACCCCATGGACTGTAGCCCACCAGGCTCCTCTGTCCATGGGATTCTCCAGGTTAGAATACTGGAGTGGGTTGCCATTTCCTACTCCAGGGGATCTTCCCAACCCAGAGATCAAACTCGCGCTGACCCTGTCTTCTGCACTGGTAGGCAAATTCTTTACCACTGTACCACCAAGAATACTTAACACTACCCACCAATTGGATCCAACTGACATTTTCATAAAATCCCACCCAACAACAGAATAGATATGTGTTAAGTACACATGGATTATTCATCAAGACAGATAATATACTGGGCCATAAAACAAGTCTCAATAAACTTATATGGGTTGAATTCATACAGAGTATGTTCTCTGGCCACAGCTGGAATTAAATTAAAAATCAATAATGAAAGGATATGTAGAATATTTGGAAACTAAACAACACAGTTGTAAATACAGTGAATTTTTAGCTTTAAATCCTTATAATGGGAAAAAGACTCTTGAGAGCCCCTTGGACTGCAAGATCAAACCAGTCCATCCTAAAGGAAATCAGTCTTGAATATTCATTGGAAAGACTGATGCTGAAGCTGAAACTCCAATACTTTGGCCACCTGATGCGAGGAACCAACTCATTGGAAAAGACCCTGATGCTGGGAAAAGATTGAAGGCGGAAGGAGAAGGGGACAATAGAGGATGAGATGGTTGGATGGCATCACTGACTCAATGAACGTGAGTTTGAGTAAGCTCCAGGAGTTGGTGATGGACAGGGAGGCTGGTGTGCTGCAGTCCATGGGGTCACAGAGAGTCAAACACGACTGAGCAACTAAGCTGAACTGAATGGGAAAAAAAAGAAGAAACCAAAATAAATGACCTAAGCTTTTGCCTTAAGAATCTAGAGAAGGAAAGTAAACCCAAAGTAGAATGAATGAAACAATAAAGATAGGGAAATCCATGAAATATAAAAAAGAAAAAAAATGCAGAATCACTGAAACCAAAAGCTGTTCTTGGGACTTCCCTGGTAGTGCAGTAGATGGGAATCTGCCCATGGTTCCATCCCTGGTCGAGAGATTATATGGGCCATAGCGCAGCTGGGCCTGTGTGACACAACTACTGAGCCCACGAGCCACAGCTACTGAAGCCCACATGCCTTGAGCCTGTGTTCCACAACAAGAGAAGCCACTGTAATGAGAAGCCCACGTATCGCAACGAAGAGTAGCCCCTGATTGCTGAAATTCAGAAGCCTGCCAAAGCAATGAAGACCTAGGGCAACCAAAATAAATAAATAAAAATTACTAAAAAAAAAAAGAAAAGAAAAACATAGTGTAAAGTTTTTCTTTAAAAAGCTGGTTCTTTGGAAATAATAAATCAATAAAATTGATAAACCTCCAGACTGATCAAAAATAAAGATGTCAATGACATATAGCAGGTTTAAAAAGAGGACACTGTTATAAGATTCTGCAAACACTAAAAGGGTAATAAGGGACTTCTGTGATCATGTTTATGCCATTAAATTCAATGACCTATATGAAATGCAAAAAATTTTCTCAGAACACACAAGTTATCAAAATGGAGTTAAAAAGAAATGAGTAGCACTCTATCTATTAAAGAAATTGAGTTCATAATTTTAAAACTTCCTAGTAGGGACTTCCTCGTAGTCCAGTGGCTAAGACTCTGTGCTCCCAAAGCAGGGGGCCCAGGTTTGATCCCTAGTCAGGGAACTAGACCCCACACGCCACACCGAAGGGTTCACATCCCATAGTGAAGACCTGGCGTGG